CATACAATTTAAATATAATTTTTATACAATGTTGTTCAACTTTCATACAATAATTAAATAAATAAAAGAAAAATATATTATATATTATACAATTTATCTACAACTTATCTACAACTTTCATACATTATTTCTACCCAGTTAAATACAACTACAATACATACAACTTAAATGCAAATTTCATACAATATATCTTTTGTATATTTTGTATCTGATTTATACATAGTAAAAATAAATTTCATACAACTAATTATATATTATACAACTTATCTACAACTTATCTATAATTTTTATACATTATTTCTACTCAGTTATATACAACTACAACATCATACAATTTAAATATAATTTTTATACAATGTTGTTCAACTTTCATACAATAGTTAAATAAATAAAAGAAAAATATATAAAAAAACAGAATATAATTTTTCTACAATTTTACTACAATTTCTGTAGTATAATGTATGTCATGTCTTCTTCTTCGAGTTTCAATCTGAAATTCAGCCAAAACCAAGTCTAATCTTTACCAAAATCCCTCAAAATTGAGCTATAAACTCCAAACCATATTCCTAATTATTTGCAATAACACCCAATCCAAACAAACCTTCTTCTCAACTCTTTAAGAGCTAGAAGAAGAGCAATTGCTTATACACCCATCAAAAAGCTCTTCCTCTTCCAATACGGGATAATGTCCCTTTGTCGGGGGGGGGGNNGTCCGTTCGTTCGGGGGTCGGGGGGGGGGGGGGAGGGATCTTAAAATTTCACTTAAAATTTTTATTTCCCTCCATTTCCCATTCACCCTCTTTTAAGCACTTAAAAAACTCAACAATCCCCCACATGAATGGGGAATGGCTATATCACGAAAATATGCATGAAAAAACTGTGTGATTTGCAAGCAAGGATTAATTGCATCTGGATAAGTAGGTTTTTCTTTGAACTTTCCGTAGTGAGCTTATGTCGGATATACTCGGTCAATCGGTAGATTTGATATCTTTGAACCGTCGAACTTTGGTGTATACCTAGACAACTATAAGTCACACAACCAACCCTTAACCGTCTTTGGTTCTCATTGTTGTGTTCGTTTCAGCCATGAACACCGCCTGGTTTCATAAGTGCATAGAGAAGTGGCCTTACAAAATTCTCCTTGAAGCGGCTAACACTTCACACTTACATAGGTGATTCCTAAACGTGTCATCCCGTAGATACACTATTTGATATACCCCGTATCAAATTTAGAAATCATTAAAAAGCCTTAATGCTTTATCCTTGGTACTGAACATTGTCTCATCACGAGTATGGACTAAAATTTTAGTTGACAATGTTGAACCGTCATTAAGGATTTTGTTTGATCTCCTTGAACCTAGATCTTGGAATCTCCAGTCTTCTAGGTAGAGTTACCGCCACAATGACTTGTTCTCGGCCATAGTCCCATTCCCCTTGATGATTTCTCAACTACCTCTCTAGTTAGGCCTTTTGTAAGTGGATCTGACACATTATCGCTTGACTTTACATAGTCAATTGTGATAATTCCTCTAGAGAGTAATTGCCTGACAATTTTATGTCTTCGTCGTATATGACGAGATTTACCGTTATACATAACGCTCCCAGCCCTTCCAATTGCCGCTTGACTATCGCAATGTATGCACATTGGTGCCAACGGTTTGGGCCAAAATGGAATATCTTCCAAGAAATTTCGGAGCCATTTAGCTTGTTCACCGGCTTTATCTAAGGCTATGAATTCAGCCTCCATTGTAGAGCGAGCAATACAAGTTTGTTTGGATGACTTCCAAGATACCGCTCCTCTACCAATAGTGAATACATATCCACTTCTAGACTTAGAATCAGTTGAACGAGTGATCCAATTTACATCACAATATCCCTCAATCACTGCAGGATATTTACTGTAGTGCAAAGCAAAGCTCTGGGTATGTTCTAAATATCCCAAAACTCATTTCATTGCCATCCAATGAGATTGACCTGGATTGCTCGTGTATCGACTCAATTTACTTATAGCACAAGCTATATCTGGTCGTGTACAATTCATGATGTACATTAAACATCCCAACACACGAGCACAATCCTATTGTGATATGCTTTGACCTTTGTTCTTTGCTAATGCAAGATTCACGTCAATTGGAGTCTTTGCAACTTTAAACCCTAAGTGCTTGAATTTTTCAAGTACTGTCTTAATATAATGAGATTGTGACCACTATTGTGAAGAGCGTGAAGCGAGGAAAAGCGACAACCCCTATTTCACGAAAAGCGAGAAGCGAGAAGCGAAGCGCTCGTTTTTTTAAGTGAAGCGGAATTAAAAAAAATTAAAATAAATATTGCATAGACAACACATGTAATTGTAAGCAAATGTTCAATACTTCAATTAAAAAACTAAAGAGTAGCATCAATTTGTTTACCCTGAAAATGGTAATAACAATTAGATTTGATTTTGTGGTTCTAAAAATATGTGATCTATTTTTATGCTAGTTGTTAGGCAATAGATGCTAAGTGAAGGATTAGAAAGTAAGATAATAGCTTGTAGACAATGTAATAATCAAATTGAATGGCTGAAAATCGGGGCCTCGAGCTTGCGTATACGGGGCCTCGAGGTCGAGTCGGATGCCCGACTGAGGGCAGTCGATGAAGGATTAAAAGTTATGATAAATTTTATGGCGGCTCTTTATGACCAATAATGAGCAATAAATGAAGAACAAGTAATGAAATGTAATAAATATAAGTAAGACAATAAATGTAAGCAATATAATCAAATAGAGAGTATGTTTGAGTTAGAGAGCAGAGAATGTTCCTGTATTGAATGTAGTGTGTTGCATATTGTGTCACTTAAAAAAATGACAAGGGTCCCCTTTATATATGAGGGGAAAATCCCAATATGACATATGCGTAATTAGTACATAAAGTAGCCGGTACAACCACTCAATCAGCCTGGTGCAGGCTGTCACTGTTGGTACAGGCGTTGTCAGAAAAAATACTGCTCCTAGAGAACTTTCGGCTTACTTGTGATAACCACCGGTTCGCTCTGCCCCGACACCGGGCACGAAGAACCCTCGAAGACTTCGAACCCCGAGCTATTCTCCAGGCCCTTCGAGGTGAAATTACGTAATGCATCGCCGATCATGAATTGGTCTTTCTGATTTTAGCCGCATACAGATCGTCCCCACGTTTCTCAGAGTAAAATGACGAGAAACGACCTCGAGATCTTGCCCCTCCGGTGCTTCCATCAAAGCAAACAGTTACGTCCTGCCAAGTGACTGATGTAACAAACAGGGCTTCTAAAGGTCGCGTCCACATAATCCTCAAAGTCTTCGATTTAATTATAGTGGTTGGCTGTCCTTTGGTCTTCTCCAATTGCACATGTTAGGCTTCTATAAATATTCATTTCTTTGCCCCTTCTTTTCTACTGCATCATAAGGCTCCTAACAGAGTTTTTCTTTCTTCTTACCTTTCTCTCGTGTTCTTTCCTGAAGTGCGATTTTTCGTTTTTTCTTTATAACCTTTTGGTAAAAATGGCGAACACTTCCACTTCTATCCCTCAGGAAGATGTGCCTTTCTCTTCCACGCTCCCCTCTGAGGGTAAAGCAACGGCGTTTCCTAGTGCTGGAGAATGCGTTCCAGAGGCCTTTGAGACGACATCTGATTTTAAGGTCGAAAGACCTTCTTCGAAGTCGGGGCGATGCGCACCCGTGTCTCGATACATCAGTTTAATAACGGACCTCGAAAGGGTGAAAGTCGACTGCCGCTGGGGAGATGCGGTGTTAGTGGAGGTTCCTTCTCAGGGGGAGGATGTAACGACGTATAAGGCTGACTTCCTCAGTGTATATACTTATCCAATTACCCTTGGCCCGGCGGTGCCGTCCATGCCTTCGATAGACCCCGTGATCCACGACTTCTGCGAACGATATCAAGTGACCCTCGACCAAATTCATCCATCATTCTGGCGTATCGTTTACATGACCAGGTATTATGCGAATATGATTAGGGGATGCCCTTCACCCTTGACCATTTGATCAGAATGTATAGTCCCCGACTTTTTTGTGGGGGCCTGATTAAGCTCCGCTGCCGGGCCTCGAGGGCCCTCTTCACTTGTACCGACGAGGTTAGGAAAGGGGGGTGGATGAGTCGTTTCGTCCGATTTAGGGCTTCGTACTTGATCCCCGCAGAGAGGATGCCGTTCCCCGAAAAATGGAACATGAAGCGTAAGTAGACATACTTAATTAACTGCCCATTTCTTTCTTTCGGATGCATTTCCTCATGAACTGACTTCCTCCGCTGATACAGCCGCTGCAGCGTGTCCCGATGCGGTTAGGAATCTTTCAGGCTGGGTAGCTAAACTGGACTCAATTTGCCCATATGTTGAGTGCGTGTGGCGCGATTTATCTAGGGCTCGATGGGAAGCCAAGGATCACGGTGGGACTTTGTTTTCTGCTGTAGTTTCAATTTTACGAAAGTTATTGCTAATTGCGTTCTCATTCTTCGTGCTTGTTTTTGTATTCGGGCAGGTCTGGGGGAGGTGTTCTTGATGAGAGAAACTCTGCCTGGTGAAGCGGGCGCCTCAAAACCCGACGAAGAGAGGAAAAAATGAGGGGGGGTCGTCGACTTATCCTCCGAAATCCAAGAAAACCAGAGTGGAAGATCCTAAGGATGATTCAACAGATTTAATTCTAGAAGCATCGGGGAGCCCCCGAGCTGGAGGCGAAAAGAAAGACGATCCCTTGATAGAACCCGAAGGGGGAGAGGATCTGACTGTTTCACATATTATTGAGTTGGCGGCTTCCGAACTGCGACTTGGTTCTGTTGTCGCCCCGCCTCGGGCTGAAGAGGCCTACGAGGGTGTATCGGGCGGTATTGTCGAGCTGGTTGACGGCCGAAATTTCCCTCGAGCCGAGGTGCACTTGGTAGGCGATCCGGGGGAGCCTAATTTCGAAGCTCCTCAGAAGTAAGGGACGAACCCGATTGATTCGGTCGAGGTCGTTGAAGTGAGCGATTCCCCTATGGAATCGGCTTTTCCTCCGAGGGAGATGCAAGACGCCCCCAATACAGAGTTTCTCGATGTGGGGACGTCCGTTGGTGATAAAAATATGCTTGAAAAGCCTTCTTCTGCGCCTGAGGAAAAGCCTGACACTAACATTTCTCTCATTTTTAATGAGATTGACAGGCTATGTGAGCAGGTAATCTATTCGTAAATTCTGCTTGGTGCCCCGACCTTTGCCCTGCTAACCTTATTTCTTTCGTGGTTCCAGGCCAAGGTTCTCTATAATCAAACGTTTGCCAATTTTGAAACCGAACTGACTCGCCACGAGGACGAACATAAGAAGCTTACCTCGGAAGCTGATGAGCTCAGGGCTCTTTCTACCAAGAGGGAGGAAGAACTCCGTAGCCTTCGAGATTTCTTGGAGGCGGCGTCTCGAGAAAAGGATCGTCTTGCTGAACAGGTTACACAACTCCCGTTTGTTTTTTGTCTGCATGTCTAACTGACTTCAGTGTTTTAATATCTTTTGATCGATTTTTGCAATTTAAGGAGAAAGATGTCCTTATGGGGAAGGAGCTCCGAGCCAGGGACTCCAAAATCCTTGAACTTAAGCGGCATTTGAGTGAGGTAATCTCTGAGAGAGATGCCCTCCGGGGAGAGGTGGTTTTGATCGGGCATTGCCTTGAAGATGCGATGGCTGAGAGCAGTAAGTATAAGGATCTCCATACTGAGTTGGCTACTACGCTATCCGAGGTCAGGGCTGAGGTCGAGGCGCTTGTGACCTCACATAAGGAGGACGCCGCTACTGCAAATGCTCAGGCCCCGAAGGTGTTCAAAGAGGCTGAGCTGCGCCTGACCGGAGCAGTGGAGCATGCCCAGTTAAAATCTCGGAGACAGACGCTCGAGGATATATATGCGGGGGGCATTGATTTAATCATTGAGAGGGTGAAGACCCTAGAAGAGGAAGCTGCGGCCCTGCTTCCTTCCGAAGACGAGTCGAGTAGTGACTCGGTAGGCGATGAGGATGGAGGTGGAGTCTGTGAAGGGGAGGAGGCCGTTGGAAACCCGGAGGTTATGGTCAAAGCTGTTGAAAGCGTGCATTCTGAGGGGGCCGTCAGTCCACAGTCCCTGAGGGGGAAGTATACTAGGCTTTTCCTTTTCGATTCTTTGTATAGGGCTTTCAGAGAGCGTCTGCCAATGTAGATTTTGCATTTTTTGCCTATGCATATAAAAGAAAACCTTTTGGTTTTATCTTTCATGCATTTTCCTCTACTTGTGCATGTCTTTCTTCATTTTGAATTTATATGTCAGTTGATGATTGGCCAAGTGAACTGGACTTCGAGTAATGACCCTTAGGTATATGATTCGGCCCTGAAGCTTGTTAGGTTGGCCCGTAGGCCTTTGTGCATTTGGTCGACACAACCTTTGACTTAAGCTGGCCACAAGGGCTCTTACACGTTTAGGTCGGTACGACCTTTTAATTAGGCCGGTGACAGTGTCTCTTCACGTATGTGCCCTTAGGCATTTTTTAGTTAACTATTTCGGGTTCAGTCCCCGAGTCGAATTTCGACTCGAGCTCATTGGACCTCAAGTTTTTGAATTTCAAGCTGGCCTTTAGGCTCTTACGCGTTAGGTCGGCTCGACCTCTCATATGAGCTGGCGGTAGTGGCTCTTATGCATTGGGTTGGTACGACCCTTTATATGGGCTGGCGGCAGTGGCTCTTACGCATTGGGTCGGTGCGACCTCTAATATAGGCTTTATTTTTCCCTCGTTAAGGACTTTGTTGAAATTGTGTTTTCCTGACTCTTCGACGGTTCGATAAAAACCTCGATTGCGAGTCGTTATGTGGCGATGAACGAGAACCTCTGGAGGTTTTCTCGGTGGCTAAGTGTTTCGAAGCCTATAGTTTTGAACCGACATGGTCGAAGCTCTTTTGCTTATGTCGAGGGTAGCCTGTTTAACCGATGGCCTGTGATTTTGTAGCGACGGTCGGGCGTCCCTAAGTCGCGTTAGTTTGGCCGGAGCCTTATGATCGTGGTCATTTTTGATTCCCGAATGAAGTAGTTTTGGCGTCTATACCGAGGGTATGCCTTTTTAGGGGTCTTACAAGTTCGAGTATATAGCCTTAACTTTATGGTCGGGGTAATGCCTTTTCTAAGGTCTTATGTTTTTACATGCCTTACTTGAGGTCTTACAGTTTCGGTTACTTGGTACAAGTATAGTTCATGCCGTGCTTGAGGTCTTAAAGATATTGTTACTTGGTACAAGAATAGTTCATGCCTTGCTTGAGGTCTTACAGATATTGTTGTTGCCTTATATAGGTCTTACGAGGCCGAGGTTGCCCACATGGGGTCTTATGGCCTCGGGTTTTTGATAAGTCGATGAGGTGGCGATTGGTGATAGTCCCCGAGACATTGAAGGCTTCTTGACGCTAGTCCCCGAGTGTTCGGGATGCCAGTCCCCGAGTGTTCGGGACATTTTGGGCCCTGGAGCTATTTTTGTAAACTTGATATTGCCTCGTTGAGGGCTTAAGAGTTCTAAGCTTTCGACCCGGAGGTCATACGGCTTTGAGTTTTGACGCCAGTCCCCGAGTGTTCGGGACATTTTTGGCTCTGGAGCCGTTTTTGTAAAAAATAGCAAACTTCTTTGGCACGTGTAATGCTTTGACGGAGGGAAAAGTATTCTTTGATTACTTGCTGTTAGGGGCTCGGTTATTCTATACGGGTACGGTTCGTTCGACCGTTTGTCCTGGTACATCGTTTTCCTATCGGGAACCCATTTAGCACGTCTCGGCTTCTCCGAGGAGGCAATCTTCCGGGGGGGGTTGCCCCCTCGTATTCGAGGTTGATTGTAGAGAAGCCTTGAATACTTGTTGAGTCTTCCTTAGGTAGCATGTAGATGTTGCCTCGCTAAAAACCTTGTCAGTAAAAAACCTTTTTTTGGGATGAAAAACCCGATCGAAGGAAAAGAGTGCAACACATGCCTTTGAAACCTAAGGCCTTTGAGCTTTTGGCAGTAATAACGTTTGAGCATTGATATATTTCAATTGCTTGGAAGCTGTTCGCCTTCTATGGTGCCGAGTTTGTAGGACCCTTTGCCAACTATCCCGAGGATGCGGTACGGTCCTTCCCAGTTCTAACCTAGCTTTCCTTCATTAGGATTTCGAGTATTCAAGGTGACTTTCCTTAGGACTAAGTCCCCGATTCCAAAATGTCGGAGATTTGTTTTCCTGTTGTAGTATCTTTCGATCCTCTATTTTTGTGCGGCTATTCGGACCAGCGAGGCTTCTCGCTTTTCGTCCAATAGTTCGAGAGCAGTAGTCATGGCCTCATTGTTCGAGCTCTCGGTGGCGTGTCGGAATCTGGAGGTAGGTTCTCCGACCTCGACCGGTATCAAAGCCTCGGCGCCATATACCAGGGAGAAACGCGTTTCCCCCGTGCTTGATTTTGGAGTTGTTCGATATGCCCAGAGCACTTCGGCTAATATTTCTCTCCATCTTCCTTTTGCGCTTTCCAGCTTCTTCTTTATATTTTGAATGATGGTTTTTTTTTGTGGATTCGGCTTGGCCGTTTGCACACGGGTGGTAGGGCGTTGACATGATCCTTTTGATCTTGTGATCCTCGAGGAACTGGGTCACTTTGCTTCCGATGAATTGCTTCCCGTTATCACATGTTATCTCGGAAGGAATTCCGAATCGGCACATGATATGGTCCCAGATGAAATTAATGACTTCTTTTTCTCTTATTTTTTCGAAGGCCTGTGCTTCAACCGATTTTGAGAAGTAGTCAGTCATAAATAAAATAAATCTAGCTTTACCTGGCGCCGTTGGTAGAGGTCCAACGATGTCCATCCTCCATTTCATGAACGGCCATGGCGACAAAACTGAATGTAGTTGTTCACCAGGTTAGTGAATCATTAGGGCGAATCTCTGACATTTGTCGCATTTGCGGACGAATTCTTTGGTGTCCTTCTCCCTGCTATCCCAATAGTAGCCTGCCCTGATTATTTTTCGAACTAAGAAACGGAACCGGAGTAATTTCCGCAGGTGCCCTCGTGGATCTCTCGGAGTACATAGTCTGTGTCTCCCAGCCCAGACATACTGCAAGGGGGCCATCAAAAGTTCTTCTGTAAAGAGTTCTGTTTTCGTCGAGCGAGAATCAGGCCGCTTTGGTTCGCAGGGCCCTCGACTCTTTTGGGTATGCGGGTAGCTTCTCCTTCTCCAAATAATTGATATATTTATTTCTCCAATCCCATGTTAGACTAGTGGAGTTGATCTCGGTATGGCCTTCCTCGATCACTGATTTGGATAGTTGAACAACAAATCCGGGGAGTATGTCATCTTCCTCGACAAACGATCCCAGGTTTGCGAGGGCATCAGCTTCGCTATTTTCCTCTCGAGGTATGTGGACCGGAGTCCATTCTTTGAAGCGGTGCAATGTGACTTGAATTTTGTCTAAGTATATTTGCATCATGTCTTCCCGAACCTCGAAACTCCCATTTACCCGATTTACCACCAGGAGAGAATCGCATTTGGCTTCAACGACTTCAGCTCCTAGGCCTTTGGCCAATTCCAGACCTGCAATCATAGCCTCATACTCAGCTTCATTGTTAGTTAACCTTGTGGTTTTTATAGATTGTCTAATCACGCCGCCCGTAGGTGGCCTTAGAACTATGCCGAGCCCGGACCCTCTTACGTTCGAGGCACCGTCAGTGAACAGGGCCCATATCCCGAAGGATGTGCCCGTTTTTAGCAAAAGTTCTTTCTCGACCTCGGGTACGAGGGAGGGAGTGAAGTCCGCTACGAAGTCTGCCAAAATTTGAGACTTGATAGCCATTCGGGGCTGATACTCGATATCATATCCCCCGAGTTCGATGGCCCATTTGTCCAGTCGGCCCGATAATTCAGGTTTATGCAATATGCTTTGAAGGGGATACGTTGTTAAAACGCAAATATGATGACATTGGAAGTAAGGTTTCAATTTTTGAGACGAAGTTATTAATGCAAGAGCTAGTTTTTCCAGGTGCGGAAACCTGGTTTCGGCATCACCCAGGGTCTGACTTACATAATAAACGAGGAATTGCGTACCTTGTTCTTCTCAAACCAGTACCACTTACCGCTATCTCGGATATAGCCAGGTATAAATACAATGTCTCATCCTCTTTTGGGGTGTGGAGCAAAGGCGGGCTTGTCAGGTATCGGTTCAACTCCTCTAAGGCGCGTTGGCATTCCAAAGTCCATTCAAAGTTGTTTTTCTTTTTGAGCTAGGAGAAGAAATGGTGACTCCTGTCCAACGAACTTGATATGAACCGGCCCAAGGTTGCTATCCGCCTGGTCAGCCGTTGCACGACCTTTACGTTATTTACCACCGTAATTTCTTCGATGGCTTTGATTTTATCGGGGTTGATCTCGATTCCTCTGTTCGATACCATGAAACCTAAGAATTTGCCCGATCCTACCCCGAAGGCGCACTTCTCGGGATTGAGCTTCATGTTGTAACTTCTGAGGATGTCGAATGTTTCCTACAAATGAATAAAATGGTCCTCTGCGCACAGGGACTTAACTAGTATGTCGTCAATATAAACTTCCATGGAATTGCCTATTTGATGTTCGAACATCTTATTAACTAGGCGTTGGTATGTGGCCCCTGCATTTTTTAGCCCGAAGGGCATTACTTTGTAACAGTACATACCGTACTTTGTGATGAACGAAGTCTTTTCTCTATCCTCGGGGTTCATCTGAATTTGATTATACCCTGAATAGGCATCGAGAAAAGTGAGGGTTTCATAGCCGGTCGTGGCATCGATCAAATGGTCGATGTTGGGCAGTGGGAATGAGTCCTTTGGGCACGTCCTATTTAGATCTTTGTAATCTACGCACATTCTTAGTTTATTCCCCTTTTTGGGAACTACCACCACATTGGCCAGCCATTCGGGATATTTTACTTCCCTAATAGACCCTATCTTGAGGAGCTTCGTTACCTCATCTTTGATGAATGCATGCTTTATCTCGGACTGGGGTCTCCTTTTTTTCTTCACCGGTTTGTACCTGGGATCGACACTCAGTCGATGGGTGGTTATCTCCAGTGGGATCCTTGTCATGTCTTAATGGGACCAAGCAAAGCAATCGATGTTGTTAATAAGGAATTGAATGAGTTTTTTCCTGAGTTCGGGGGTTAATCCCGTCTCCAAGTATACCTTCCGA